GTCTAATGAATAGCTAGCAAAGATTTTCAGAGACAGGATTAATTTTTTCATTGCATCTCTATATTTGTGTGCATGCAGGTGTGTGTATATGTGCATATGTGAGTGTGAGTGCACTCACATGTCACAGTGAACATAGGGAAATCAGAAGACAACTTTCAGACATCAGTTCCCTCCTTCCATCATCCATCATAGATTTTCTACTGATGGAACTCATTTGTCAGGTTTGGGGACAGGTCCCTTACGTGCTAAGCCAACTCATGAGCTCCTAGACTGGGACTTTCTTGATTCATTTTGTTTAACCAGACAAATCTGTATAGACAAATCAAGTCAAATTTGGAATAGCATTTTAAGTTGCAACATACTTAATTTTGAAATTTTTGTTGCTTTAGGAACTCAGTGGTGATTTTCTGATTAAAGTTAAAGGTCTAGAAATGGAAAATTTCCTTTTTTCACCATCCGTATAGCAAATGCCAAATAGATAGCACTTCAAGGCAAAAAAAGCAATCTACTGTCTGACTAATGTAGTTGGATCCGTTCATTGACCTCTGTCATGACAACACCCCCCACTCTCTGTCTTTGAATGTGCAGAGCTGGGACAAATGATTCAGTATGTGGTTGCTTAGATAATGGCAACAACAAAGGTAGCAGGATAGAGAGGAAGGTCTGCCCTGGATCCCAGGCATTCTTGGAGAAAGGAGGTTTGTGTAGAAACAGCTTTAGAAAACGGATTTGTATAAATTCAGCTCGCACCAGTGGCAGAAAATGTAATTCATTTTTTGAATCAGGGTTTTTTTCCCCTTTGTTTCGTTATAGGATTTAGCAAGGGAAAAGAAGGCAAGTTTCCATAGTAAATGGCTTTGAAAAGTTAGGGTTTCTGTCTTAATGTCCTTTTGCCTTTGTTGCCTGTCTGATGTACTCTCATTACTGCAGAGTTTAGGGCTTTGTCTTGGTGTCAGAAAGAGCTAAATTCATTAAAAGTAGAATGAAAGCTCAGAAGGGAATCAAAATCCACTACATTAAAACTAAAGATTTCTTTAGGGATGGAGTCTCGCAGATAGACATGGCTCAGCTTTGCTGAATGGGTGCTGGTCATGGCCCAGGTGGACGGTAGGCCAGCTGCGAGCTCTGACGGATGGTGCTGCCTTTGGATCACGGGGTCTCTAAGAGCTTCCTCCTGGGTGCCAGGCAGACATTAAGAGTTGTTCCAGGTTTTCAGAGTGAGGCAGACAGACTTTCTCTCACCACCAGAGGCCCCCTACTGAGTGGACAAACAGATCTAGTTCACCCCCGTTTTTGTTCAGTTCCAGATCACGTACTACTCACTATGCTATGTGGGAACTGCTAGAGCTCATAGGTGAAATGAAGACAGTAAGCGATGAGGTGCTGCTTTCCTTATTATCTTTGATGTGTATCTGCTTTGGTTATTTAACCTCAGAAAACTCATGGAACTGTATTTTATCTGTGCTTTCTAAAGAATTCCCAGAGACCTTAATTATCATAGATTCTAGAAACTCTATAATTAGGCTGGAGTTTTAAATGAAACATGAAGCTTTGGAAGATCGTGCGTATTAGAAGGAGTTGTAGGAATAGTTCAAGCAGCCGGTTCTTAGCTCCGGGGCAAACATGTGGCATGTGGTTTGCTAAAGGTCCATTGGCTGTTTTCTTTTTCTATCTCACAAGAGGCAACAAAGGAAACATTTCCCTCAACTTTGAAAGGCTTGGGGAAAGAGGATGAAATACAGGACCGCCCCGTGGTTAGAGTTGCTCACAGAGTCCATTTCCAGTGAGCACTGTTGGCGGGAGGAGGAGGTGGGGTACCAGGGAGGGGTGGGAGGAGGAGGTGGGGTAGCTGGGAGGGGGTGTAATAGACTGTTGATTGGGAATGGTTGTTGGGGGAGAGAGCGTCACTCCCTTCCGCGGAGTAACCACTAAGTTGAGCTCCCTCCACTAAATAACACACGCCTACGCACATGCACAGTCCACCAAGACTGTTAATTAAACTCAGCAGGATGTGAAAGTACATATGGGGCTTGTTGAGAAGAAGCTTTCCAACCAGAGAGGGAAGGGATGAGAACCGGGAATGGGGGTGAAAATGGCTTAAATTCGTGTGAATTATGTGAATGCATGGAGCTGGCAAAGAAACACATAATTAAAAAGAAACATTGTGTGAGTTCCTGTGTCCCAGGTCCACCGCTGTACCTAAGATATTGTTGGATCAAAGGCTGATCTGATTTGTGTGGGGAAAACTCTAGGCCTAGGGGTGTGGGTGTGACTGAGAAGGAAAAGAGAGACTAGGGACATTTGAGAGCCTATGCTCGCTTCTCAGTAGCGCACTGTGTAAAGGGGAATAGGATGCCAGCGCTGGGCCAAGCTAAGCTTCAGTAGGGATGTCACAAGAGACATCGCGCACCAAAGTGTTACACTTAAGTTTGGGGGTGGGGGTACCAGCGAGGGGGTGGGAGGAGGAGGTGGGGTAGCTGGGAGGGGGTGTAATGGACTGTTGATTGGGAATGGTTGTTGGGGGAGAGAGCGTCACTCCCTTCCGCGGAGTAACCACTAAGTTGAGCTCCCTCCACTAAATAACACACGCCTACGCACATGCACAGTCCACCAAGACTGTTAATTAAACTCAGCAGGATGTGAAAGTACATATGGGGCTTGTTGAGAAGAAGCTTTCCAACCAGGGGGTGTAATGGACTGTTGATTGGGAATGGTTGTTGGGGGAGAGAGCGTCACTCCCTTCCGCGGAGTAACCACTAAGTTGAGCTCCCTCCACTAAATAACACACGCCTACGCACATGCACAGTCCACCAAGACTGTTAATTAAACTCAGCAGGATGTGAAAGTACATATGGGGCTTGTTGAGAAGAAGCTTTCCAACCAGAGAGGGAAGGGATGAGAACCGGGAATGGGGGTGAAAATGGCTTAAATTCGTGTGAATTATGTGAATGCATGGAGCTGGCAAAGAAACACATAATTAAAAAGAAACATTGTGTGAGTTCCTGTGTCCCAGGTCCACCGCTGTACCTAAGATATTGTTGGATCAAAGGCTGATCTGATTTGTGTGGGGAAAACTCTAGGCCTAGGGGTGTGGGTGTGACTGAGAAGGAAAAGAGAGACTAGGGACATTTGAGAGCCTATGCTCGCTTCTCAGTAGCGCACTGTGTAAAGGGGAATAGGATGCCAGCGCTGGGCCAAGCTAAGCTTCAGTAGGGATGTCACAAGAGACATCGCGCACCAAAGTGTTACACTTAAGTTTGGATTCTTTTCTTTTCCTGTGCTGGGAATGAAACCCAGGCCTCAGGCACGCAGGTGCTCTGTCGCCGAGCCACACCGCGGCTCTACACTGTTTGTGAAGGAAAACTGAGGTAAGCTGGATAAAGAGCGTTCAGGAGAGGATGGGGACCAAGTGCTGAGGAGCCGTTAGGGGAGCTGGTGGTGGCCGAGTGTGGCCAAGGGCAGAGTGGAGCCAGGAGACCCTGAGCTATCTGAAGACAAGCCTTGCTCAGGATGGGCTTAAGGGAAATGAGCCAACAGGAGAAGGGAGATTTCATACTCAAGAACCAGTGTTGTTTCGAACATCTTGAGCTAACAGAAAATGTGGCTTTCCTTGGGAAAAGATGAGTATTCCACACTGGAGATGAGCAGATAGGTCATCACTCTAAGGGGTTTCTTCTGAGGGTGTCCAAGCTGCATAATCCCTTTGAATTCGTTAAACCAAGACTCCATGGTTAACAGTTTAAAGAGCAGCCTGGAAACTTGTGTGTGTATGTGTGCTATGTGTATGCGTTCCTGTGGGTGTGTGCTTGTGTGCATGAAGGCGCATGTGCAGACATGTACGTAGAACCTTGTGTGTGTATGTGTACTATATGTATGTGTTCCTATGGGTGTGTGCTTGTGTGCATGAAGGTGCGTGTGCAGACATGTATATAGAACCTTGTGTATGTGTGCTATATGTATGTGTTTCTGTGAGTGTGTGCACGCGTGCATGATGGTGTGTGCATATGTGTACATAGAAACTTGTTTGTGTATGTGTGCTATACGTATGTGTTCATGTGGGTGTGTGCACGTGTGCATGAAGGTGTGTGTGCACGTGTCTATGGAGACCAGAGGTTGATTTTTGTGTTTCTCAATTGCTGTCCGCCTTAGTTTTTGAGTTGGGATCTTTCATTTTACCTAGAGGTCATTTATTCAGCTAGGATGGCTGGCCAATGGACTCCAGGGATCAGACTGTCTCCACCTCCACGGGGCCAGGATTACAGATATTGCTGCTGCTAGCTTTTACCTGTGTGCTGGGGATGGAACTCTGGCCCTCATGATGGCTTGCCAGCTCTTTATTGACTGAGCCATCTCCCCAATCTCTAAAGATTTATTTTAAGTAAATAAGCAAAGTCCTTCTTTTAGTTGGGGTTTTACCTCCCCCGACGCTCATCAGAATGACAACGTGAATTCCTGGGTGTTCGGTCTGGCGAGTCCTAGGTTGGGAGGACACCAGACTCTCCAATGACTTTCTGCTTTTCTGGCCTAGTTTCACAGAAGTTTTCATCAGAGGGGAAGTCATCCTTTCGAGCTTGTAGACTGTGACAGTCTGGTTAGTGTGTCAAGAACACAGGGACGATGGTGGGAGACAGATGTAAGTGCACCGGACTTCCTGATTAGATCTCTGCTAAGTATCACAATCAGTCTTGGAGAACACATTGATTCTCAGGGAGTCAGAGTGGGCTTGTGAAGCACACACCTTCCTGGATACCCATGAGGCTCTGGGGATGCTGTTTAATGTCTCATTTGATGCTCATTAGACCACAGGAGCCAACATGTCTTCAATATAGTGAGATTTCAGCAGTGTGATAAAACACCCAAACAAAACCTGGAAACGGGTTCTGTAAGAATCAGTGAGCTGTCCTTTGTTCTCTCTGCCTGGATTTTCTTCTTGCTTCTATTAGCTCTGCTAACACAGTGCCATTAAGCTACACAATTACAAATGCTATTTTTTTTTGCAGCTAAATTATGCAGAGACAAGGCTCAGCCAGCTGGAAAACTGCCACTGTGAGAAGACCTGTCCGGTGAGTGGACTGCTCTACCGGGACCAGGACTCCTGGGTTGACGGTGACCACTGCAGGAACTGCACGTGCAAGGTGAGCCCTTCCTAAAGAGACAGGCTCACCAGCAGCGCAGTTAGTCCTTTAAGATATAATGCTAGCATACCTATGCCTACTACCCTTTAGCAACCTGTGTGCTTTCCAAATACTTAGAACATGAAAACCTCCCTTTTCTTTATATACTCTAATCTGAACTAATTTTGTTATTAAGGAAATTACTGTTTGGGATTAGTAAATTGAGGTGTAGAAAGAGGAAGAGGTTTCTTTCATTCCAAACAACCTCCTGGTTATCTACATTAACTACTCTCTCCTATAATACGTTAAAAGTGTTCATTACTTTTTTTTTTTTGTTTTGTTTTTTTTGAAACAGGGTCTCTCTGTAGCCCTAGCTGTCCTGGAACTCACTATGTAGACCAGGCTGGCCTTGAACTCACAGAGATCTGCCTGCCTCTGCCTCCCAAGTGCTGGGATTAAAGGCATGCGCCACCACGCCTGGCCAAAACTGTTCATTACTTTTAATTATGTGTACGTGTGTGTGTGTGTGTGTGTGTGTGTGTGTGTGCACATAAGTGCAGGTGCCCATGGAGGTCAGAAGAGGGTGCTGGATATCCTGGGGCTAGAGTTACAGGTGACTGTGAGCCTCCTGACTTGGGTGCTGGCAACTGAACTTGAGTCTTCTGTAAGGGAATATGTGTTTTTAACCACTGAACCGTGCTCCAGGTTTCTATAGTAAATTTAAAAAATATTTTTATCTTATGTGTATGAGTGTATTACCTGCATGTATGTAAGTGCACCTCTGTCTTGCAATGCCTGCAGAGGTCAGAAGGCCTTGGATCCCCTGGAACTGGAGTTACGGACAGTTGTCATCTGCCACACGGGTGCTCTGCAAGAGCACCCGGTTCTCTTAACGGCTGAGCCATTTCTCCAGCTCTGTAGAGCACATTTTAAAGAGTTCGTCTCTAGATGTTTGCATTATAGTTTGCATGGCGTATATGTCTATTCCTGAGGATTGAGAGATAATTTTCCCAAGTCCCTGTTTTTCATCTGTCATTCGTAGACTCCTCCATCTGTTTCAGAGAGCTACAAGAGCCGCATCCAAAAATTAGCATGTAAATGCTGTCCAGTTGAAATGTCATTGTTTGTCCAGGAAAATAGGAAATGAATTGTTAGAGCCTTGGAAATGACTGACAGGGTCTGCTAAAGGGTTATTTACTTCTCGTAAAATAGGGTTTTTGTTTTCTGTCTGATCTACTTAGTCCACCTGGGCAGGTGGGGTGAAGCCAGTGATGTATATCGGAAAAGTAATTGAGGTGACACGGAGTCATTCGGGCTGGAGAAGACTTTGTTTGTGGTTGTGGCGTGGACTGGGAATTCCCCACACAGCTTGTCTCCCAGATGAGGCTCTGGGCACCGGAGGTACACTTCGTTTGCAACAGGAGCTTTCAAAGGGCACGTCTGAGACCCCTTTCTCTGTCTTTGCTTTTCAGAGTGGTGCTGTGGAGTGCCGGAGGATGTCCTGTCCCCCACTCAGCTGTCCCCCAGACTCCCTTCCTGTGCACATTCCTGGACAGTGTTGCAAGGTCTGCCGACGTAAGTGCTTGCAGAGTGTCAGCGCGGCCTCTGGGCTTTGAGAGTTCTACATTTTCCTCTGTGTTTTTAGGACCCAATGAACTGACACTGAAGGGCTCTCATTGCAACAAATGCTTTGCCTGGGCTTCCTCCCTCTTCAGAAACGCCCTCCCATCAACCCTAAGCACTCTCCCCTCTTCTGTGTGGAGAGAGCTATGTGTACAGGGAGCGAGGGGCTCCTCCAGGCTCAAACACCCTGCTGGACTTGAGAGGTAAACTCACAACCCCCAAGTTCATGTGATCCAGTCTCTTAATTTTGACTGATCAAGCTAAGGGCTTGCTTTTCTATTTTGGCCGTCTGAGGTTTTAGACAGATTCTCTTGTTACTAAGCAGACTCTGTTAGAAAATTCAGGGTGAAATTCAATTAAAATGGTGAAGCAGTTTGTTTCAGTGTTGGCCTAGCCAAGTAATAACGATTAAAAAAATCCCTCTTCATCTGTGTTGCGAAGGACTGTTTCCATGAAATAGTAAGGTGAACACAAGGTTGTAGGAGTCAAGGCCCTGGGTATATGTGCTGTGTGCCATGCTGGCTGCTTCTGTTCAATGCATTGATTTTTCCTGGCAGCTTACATTGTTAGCACCCTATTGTACAGGAAGTGCAGGTTAGAGGATCCATTTACCAAGGACACAAACTAGTGAGATCTCAAACTTGCTTCACTGACTGTGAGACCTGTAGGTTCCTCATGAAACCACGTCACTTCCCACAGAAAAGAATTCTCATCAGAAGTGCGGCAGCTGAGCTGTGTCACACGTGTCTGTGATCCCAGCGTTCGAGACATGGAGGCAGAGGGCTTAGGAGTTCAAGGCCAGCCTCAGCTACAGAGTAAGCTTCAGGCTCGCTTGGACTACATGAGATCCTGTCTCAGAAACAATAGTAACCTACCTTAGAACTTTCAAACAAGCAAGCGAAGTGATTTAGCATCCTATGCATAATTTTCTTCATAAATTTAAGTTTTAGAGGATTTCATACAGAACGTTGTTTCATTATTTCTACCTCCCTGTCCTCCCTGACTGTTCCCACGTCCCCCCCACTCCCTCTCAAGTCTGTGACCTCTTTAATGTTACTATTACATATATACACATGTGTATACGCACACACAAAAGCAGAGTCGGTGTTCTCTGGGGCCTGGTCCCCTGGGAGGTTGCCATTCTCAAGTACCCAGGCTTGCACACATGTGCATATGAGCACTTCTGGATAATTCTCAAGGTAAGTTTTTATGATCAATAAGAAATGTGAACGTCAGTAGGCCTTCAGAGCACTGTGCTTGTTTTGTAACGAGCCACCCGATATGACAGGGGAAGGGGTCTAGATGGTCTGGACCCACTGCTCAGATATTTACAGAACTCTTTCAATGAAACAAACCCTCCCTCCTCTTCTCATGACTGGCATAGTGGTGCTCGTCACTCTGCTAGGTGTACTTAGAGCTAGTGCGAAGAGAGGAACTGAAGGGCTTGGAGACGATGCCTGGGGATTCAGGTGGCTTATGTGCATAGATGCTATAGTTGGAGCCCGTGATGGAAAGAAAGATATGTATGTTAATAAGTATATTTTGCCTTTAATTTTAAATTTTTTTTTTTTGGTCTTGTTGAGACAGGGTCTCCCTGTAGCCCCGGCTGGCCTGGAACTTATTATGTAGACCAGGCTGGGCTCTAGTTTACAGAGACCTACCTGCCTCTGCCTCTCTTGTACTGGATTAAAGGCGTGCACTACCACGCCCAACCTTTTTAAAGTCTTGATATTGCTTATACCAATCATCTGGGGAAAGAAGTTAAAAAGTCATTAGGGATTTTTAAAAAACATATGAAATGATTTAAGTCCAACATTCTGAGTTCCCAGGCAATTCTGTGAATGTGGGCGGTGCTGTTTAGTTGTGGAGAGACGTTCTTCAGGCATTTTATGTTTTAATACTTTAATTTTTTCTTTTGACTTTTTTTCTTAAAACAAAAAGCTGTATCCTCATTTATAACATTCTAAAACCCAGAGAAGATAAAATTGGAAACTTTACATTTCATGTGTCACTTACTTGGAAAGTAATCACTTAATATTTTAGTACATTCATTTTTATTAATTTATTTTTTGTGTGTAGTGAGGTCATGTATGATTTTATATCCTACTTTGCTGACTTACTAATATCACTTAGATGTATTCCCACATTTTTCAAGGTTATAATCTCATTTAACCTTTCCCAATATTTAGTTGTTGCATGACTTTTTCTCAGTTGTTAAAAGTCTAGGTTCTTTCCCACTTTTTACCATTGTTATTCTTTGATAACGTGCTTTGTATAGAAAACATACTTTGATTATTTTTAATTTTGAAGTTCTTTAAGGTGTAGACCTACTGGGCTTAGAACTGGTATTTTCAAGACCTTTTTTGCATTTCTTTATTGAGAGAGAGAGAGAGAGAGAGAGAGAGAGAGAGAGAGAGAGAGGTGAGAGAGAGAGAGTTTTCATGTACATGCCACAACACATGTGTGGGGTGTCAGAGGACAACTTACAGGAGTTGATTCTCTCTTTCTATTGGTTGGGTCCTGGGAGTCACCAGCGTGTTTTTGAGCTAGCAGCAGAGCCTTTATCTGCTGAGCCATCTCACTGGACTTTAGGGCCTTTGATGCATATAATTAAACTGCCTTCCCATTGTGTGCAAGGGAGATAGCAGTTTTGCTTTATTCCAGTTCATCAGTTTTCAACAATATTGCAGAAAGTTTCTCAGTTTTCCCAAGGTGTTGACACGCACGCTAACTGCGATGTCTGTTTCTGTGGAGTTCAGAGCTGGCTGGTTAGGTAGAACTTGTTTTCTCAGTGACTCTGCTTGGACTTTGATGTGCTCAGAGTTTAATAGTAGGAATACAAATGAATTATTAAGAACACTGCTCAACTGATCTTCCTAAAACAAGGGGCTCTAGATAGGCTGACTAGACTCAGTGGATGGACTTGCACTGGGGAATGGCTGGGGATACTGACAACTCGGTGGGCCTTAACAGGGATGACAGAGTCTTTGGGCTCCAGTGGGGGCAGCTATGGGAGGGTGCCAGTAGGGACGGGGATATAAAGGTGATTAAGAATCTTTGAGATGTTCTGTATGAAATACACAAAAAATTAAAAAAAAAACACTGCTCAAAAAAAAAAAATCAACATATCTGTAGTAACTAAAAGGTTGAGACCTGTGGCCTGCGAGACTTTTATTTCTTCCTAGGTTTATAAAACAGAACTCTCTCTGGCAGTTTCTGCATCTCTGTGTGTGAAATAGCGGTGGGGAGCCCCGTCCCTGCTTCAGAGATCTCCCACTGAGCCTGCTTTCAGATTCCAAAATTCTAAGGACAGTAACAGTATTGTTTGTGTATGTGTACATATGTTCTAGGGAAACTTACCAGATAACAGCTTAGCAGGGTATTTACCAGTGAGTAGGAGTTTGCCAGGTGCCCAGTAAGGACATAACGCCAGAAAGAATCACCCAGGTAAAATAAGGGAAGGAAACACAGATGTGGTGTTGGTACTTAAAAGTGAAGTGTAAAAAATATTTTTATTGAGTTTTTGTGCATTTCATATAACAGACCTTTATCAAATTTAGACCTCCTCCCCACAGCCCCCCTCACTGGATTTCATGCATTCTGTCATACATGCTAAGTCCTGTCTGCTCAAGCATTTGCAGATGTCCCTCAGTGCACGGTTTAAAAGTAGGGTCATGCCAAACTCAGAGAAGTACTTTTCACAAAAGATTGTACTTATATTTGTTTTAGTTATATGTGTGTGGGTTTGTGTACATGAGTGTCTGAAGAGGCCAGAAGAAGGTGTCAGATCCCCTGGAGCTGATGAGTGCTTGGAATATGTTCAAGGTGGGTGCTGGGAACTGTGCTCGCAAGACCAGTACACACTCAACCACTGAGCCATCTCTCCAGTCTAGAGAAGAGCTTGTAAGGCCTCTGTGTCGGCAGGGCCAACAAGCCTGGGATATGGACATCTTCCGGGTGGAGACGATGAGGTTAGCAGGCAGGCACTACCTAGGGAGATGCAGAGAATGGGTGGATGTGAGTGACAGCCAGAGACCTGGCACATAAGCACTGCTTTGTGTGAACGTCTGCGAGGCAGCAGCTCCCAGGTTTTGAACGAGAGCCTGTGGGAGCCGCACATCGCGATTCTCAGGTAGGGCAGAGGGAGGAAGCAGTTTGTGGAGTAGAGCTTTCTGTTTGGTATGTGTGAATTCGAGATGCTTTAGGGACACCCAGTTTGATCTGGGTGTTTTGCCCCGAGATGGGGCAATGGAAGCTCAGGCTGGGAATTAGCTCATAAGGGACTGAGCACCGGGACTGAGCACCCTTAGGTGTTCAGACTTTGTGATCTGCCACCTGCTTTAAAGTGTGCAGCAGAGTGCTGACTTTGACATTCCAAGTCACTGAGTACCCATGGACGATACCTAAATCTGGTATCGAAATGCGGACAGAGTAACCTCACATTCAGATCTGACGGACATCAAAAGTGTTACCTGCCAGTTGTTTATTCAGTCTGCACCCAAGTGGCAAAAGTGTCCAGTCTTTATGCTCAGGGAATCAAAGTCAAATCTGAAAGGCCAGATATCCGTGGGTACAAAAAGATAGAGCTGCGTAGCCATCTCTAACACTCCCGTACACTTGCTTCTGACGTCACATAGAAGTATGTGCTAGTGCTGAGTTTCAATTTCATGGTTGGACACCGTGAAATACCCTAGTTTGCATGTCTCCGGTGTGACACGAAGGGCTCCGGGTATCCATTTATGTTTCTGCTCACACTGAAAACTGTTGAAATGAAGCCCCCAGTGCTGGGCCAGAGGCAGCAGAGCCTGACTCACCTTATGCTTGAATTTCCTCAGACATCAAAAATAAGCTTTTTGGTTGCAGATCAAGAAGTTGGATAATGAGGCCTGATGTTAGACATATGGAAGGCAGTTCCAGGGAAGGAGGGTACTGCCAGAGAAGTGGGGTGAGCATGGGAAGCAAGGGGCTTATCTTGGGAGGGTGGTAATGGATGGGTAGATATGTTGGGAGGGTGTCCGTTGGGAGGGCTCATTTCAGGGACACCTGTACCTTCCTCATATATACAGCCTGTCCCTTCCCGCAACTGCAAGTGATGGAGGCGTACAGTCACACGTTGCTATCAGTGGCCATCCCTCAAAGCGCCCTGTGATGTCACTGGGCATTTAATTTTTATACCAGCCTGGAAGATCGAAGGGATGGATGTGTCTTGAAGCGTGGTATAAACAATGAGGCCTTCTTATCTTCAGATAAGAGTTCCAGATGAGTCTGCCAGACAGGAAGAAAGGAATCAGGCACACGTTTCCAGACAGGGCAGCAAGTGTGTTAATAGTGTTGTGGTGTGGCAAGAGGCCAAGGAGGAAGTGGGACTCCTGCTTCTCCCAGCCTGTGCCAAGAGGCAGATGGTGGGGCTGACGGCAATGCATTTAGCCGAACTGTCACTGTGGAGCCAGCCACCTCGCCAGGTTGGCAGCAGCTGTGCTTAGGAGTATGGGGATTTTTTACAGAGGAATTCCTGGCCCTGGGAGATTCCATCCTCCTATGCAAGGCAATGGGGAAATCCAGACTGTCATTAGGACAGTTGCAGTCAATGGATTGACCTAGAAGCCCGAGGCTTAAAAGATGAATCAGGGGTAGGCTAATTACTGTTTTAATGAATAAATGAAGGGAAGGAATCATTTGGGGAATTGCACTGGTTTTGTGTTTTGTTGCTATTGTTAGTGTTTTTTTGCTCTGAAACCTTTGGGTGCTTAAAACTGCATTGAGGAGGAAAAATAATTCCTTGGTAGTAATTGGGAAATTTGTCTGGTTTTGGCTACTTGGTAGAGATCATTAGCTCTAAAAGTGTTTACTTTTTAACCAACGGTAAGCTCAGAGAGGCACTGAGCTTGGAGCTTATCCACAATTATACACAGCTCTGGCTGTCATGGTGGTGACAGTGAGCTGAAAAGAGATGTTAAGGTACAGTGTGGTGTATACTCTGTTAGAGGCCAAAGCACAGCAGAAGCCCAACACGGCAAACAAGCAGTGTTCCAGTCAAGAACAGCTCCCTGGGGCTGGTAGATGTCTCAGTCTGTAGAGCGCCAGCTGTGTAAGCTCAAGGACCTGAGCTCAGAGCCCCAGAGCCAATGTAAAGCTGGACACGATGGTATGGTGGTGTGTGCCTGTAACTCCAGCCCTGGTGAGTGGGCAGAGACAAACAGATCCCAGAAGCTCACTGGCCGACCAGCCTCACCAAATCAGTGAGTGTCAGGTTCAGTGAGTTATCTTGTCTCAAAAATCAGAGGTGGAGACTGATAGAAGAAAGACCAGATATTGACCTTGGGCCCTCCCACCTGCTCTCTTAACACACGCACATGCCCCATATGCATACACCCAAACTAACAAGTACATACCCTACAAACAGCACACACACTACACATCCCTCTCCCCACCACACACACACACACACACACACACACACACACACACACACAGACATACACACACACACACACCAGCTTCTTAAGAGGAGTTGGACCAACTTTGAAATAGATTGACATACATGTTGGGAATGTGGAAATGGATGAATATTGTGTTGGGAGGGTTGGAATGGGTGGGGATATGTTATGTTGGGTGAGACAGACAGGTATGTATGTTAGAGTTAGGAAGCTAGAAATGGATAGGTGTTATGCTTAGAAGGTGGGTATCAATGGGTATTTATGTTGGGAGGGTGGAAATGGATGGGATTTTTTTGAATGGGTAGAAGCAGGTGAGCATGTCTTGGGAGGGTGGTAATGGATGGGTAGATATGTTGGGAGGGTGTCCGTGGTTTATGGACAGAGCCAAGCATCCTTGTAGAATACAAGAGTACATAACAAGCTTGGGAGAAAGTATAGCCAGAGCATAGGTGGAGGAGAGAAGGCTTGCATCTGTGAGTGACAGCACAGGAAATGAGAACCTTGAAGTTTGGGAGTTGAGGAAGAGCCACCGAATGGCCTAAGTGCTGAATAGGGAGTGTGAACTTTATCCGGAAGGCATCAGAGACTCCTAATGGTTTTAAGGAGGGTCCCCTATTTAGATGGTAAATATGCCCAAGTGTTGTGGGTGGACAGACTGGGGATTGGAAGGAGGAGCTTCTGCTAGCATTGAAGACTGGAGGGATGGTGACGGCTTGAGTGACAGTGTCAGAGTGGGGGATGTATAACATGGTTGCCTTGAGAGCCTGCAGAGGAAGCATTGCTAGGATTTGTCTACTGCTTGGACAGAAAACTGAGTAAGGGGAGGGACTTAGGAGAAGCCAGGTGTCAGGCTGAAGGTGCCGGGGTGGATGGCAGTGCCATGCTTGGGGAGGAGACTAGGGTGGTGCAGGGCTGTGTGGGGTTGCTGCAGATCCCAGATGCTGAGGCTGAGCAGAGCCTGCAGTAGTGATTTTCACATGATCCATCAAGAGAGACAGGCAGGATCAACACTGGGATTGGAATAGAAGGCACCGAATCAGACAGAAGTTGGTTGGCAAAGTAGTCAGAACAGATGTTTGGATTCTTCCCACAAAGAACCTCAGCTGGACTGGCCTTTCTGACTCGTCCTGTGCTAGGAAAGAAAGCCAAGACTTTATGCCATTTTACCAACCCTTTGCTGGATATGGGCTGCCCTGGAAGGAGCCCTGACTTTGGACAGGGTGGCTCTCCACAACCCAGCACAGATCCTAGGTAAACAGTCAGCTGAGAGCTGTTGGCTGACCCCGTTCCAACAGCTGTAGGAATATGTTGGTCGCAGAGGCCTCTGCGCATCCTCACAGCCTCCGCCCTAGAGAGGTGTAATGTTCTTTAAGCCAGTGTCTCTGGGCTTTTCTTCCTGTGGCTCAAAAGAAAGGTCTGGACCAGTTGCTTCCAAGGTTCTACAAGAAGGATCATTTCATGAGAGTGACAAGATTATGAAATTAAGAAACTACCAAATTTGATCAACCCAGCTTTAACAGATACAGAAACAGAAAGCCAGTGGTGGTGTGGTTTTATAAAAGCAGAGGGGAGTTAGCGTGCATGGATCTGCTTTGGTTTCTCCAGACCTGGGGCTGGAAGGGCAGACAGGTCCTCATCAGGGTCATTCAGGCCTTTGCCTCCTGTTTTTCCTGAAGTAGCTGGAAAATCTAGTGGACTTAAAATGGGGTCATATCAAATTCACATATTCTGCGCTTGTTTAAAGCAAATCAGCAAGTTAAGTTGAACACAAAGCTTCAGTGGACTCTAAACCGAGCTTCTGTTTCTCTTTGAAGTTTTCTACAAGGACGATTCCCACCTGATTTCCAGTCCCTGCCAGCCCACACAACTCACTTTCCCAGGGCTGCCTCTCCAGTGTGTTGATGTAGCGACTGCCGGGCTGACTTGCGTTTTTTAGAAGTCTGAGTGCTTTAAGAACATCCAGGCTCAGGACACTCACTCTGATAGTCACAAGGAAACACACATGGGATCCTCGTTGAGGTGAAATTCCGATGAACAGAACACATGTGAGCCTTCTTTCACTCATTTTGCAGCTGGACTATCTGCGTCACAGCTGCTGATAGCAGGGTGAGCTGGGGCGGCTCCCGAGGCAAAGCGCTTGTGGCGTAAGCCTTAGGACGCAGGTTTAGATCCCTAGGCTCCTGGAACCTGGGCACGGCCGTTGGTGCGTCGTGATGCCAGCTCTGGGGAGGCAGGCATGTACATACCCCTGGAGGTTGCTGGTCAGCCAGTCTAGTTGAATCAGTGTGCTCCACGTTCAGTAAGAGACCCTGCTTCAAAAAATAAGGAGGGGCTGGAGAGAGAACTCAGTGGCAAGGAGCACTGGCTGCTCTTGCAGAAGACCCAGGTTCGATTGATTCCCATCACCCACATGGTGGCTAACAACTGTCTGTAATTCCAGCTCCAGACTCTTCCAGCACCCTCTTCTGACTTCTGTGGGCATTGAACAAGGGTGCACTTACATACATACATATAGGCAACTCACTCATACACATAAAATAAAATAATAAATATATAAAAAATGGGGAGCACATACCCATCACACACACACGTACATACGTATACCACACACACACACACACATACACACACACGAGCTCACACACACACATACACATGAACTCACACACACTTATACCACACACATACACACATACACACGAGCTCACGCACACACATACACACGAGCTCACACACACTTATACCACACACATACACACATACATAAAAGGAAACTCCAAAACATCAAACCTATTGCTGCTTGCACTCCATGATGATGGAGACCAGCTCCTCTTGGCGATGGAGACCAGCTCCTCTTGCTCTAACCTCCTAACAATTCGTCCTTCAGTTCCCACAGCCATGACAACAGTGAGCTTGTTGTGGCTTCTTTGCTGTTGAACGAACCGCCAGTGTGATTTTCTTGCACATCATGAAGGCCTGACCATATTTTTCTGTTTTATTACAGCAAAATGTATCTATGGAGGGAAAGTTCTTGCAGAAGGCCAGCGGATTTTAACCAGGAGCTGCCAAGAATGTCGTGTAAGTTCATCTCGTGAGCCCTGACACTCTGCAGAGTGGATCCGTACATGTGCATTTTCTTAAGTGGGGCGTGTTGGCTTGGGCGGGTCTGTGAGAGACAGAACTGGTGGGCTAGAGTAGAGGATGGGGGGACCTGGCCCCTGTTTCTGTGTGACTAGCCTGTGGCCAGATGGGTCAAGTAGCCTGAGAATCAGCTGTTACAGGAAGGATGTGAGGGGAAAGGGAAACAGGAGCAGCTGTGGATGGAGAGGCTGGGAGGTGGCCCTGAGGAAAGTTCTAGGTAGTTATTGGGGAGTCTGCCCCTCATGCTGGCTCTGACAGTGCCAGATCTACTCAAGTGGGCGATATACACTAGAAAATGCCCTCTTCCTGCTGTTCCCGCCCACTCTCTCATGAAATAAGATGTGAAGAACCATACATGTTACCGTTAGTCATTCAGCAAACATTCGTCAGGCAAACGCTGTGCCCCAGCATTCAGTTGGGCTTCCAATGCACAGCAGTGACCAAGTGTTGTCTACATAGAGCTTGCAGCTTAGTGATGGAGCTAGAGAATAAATACATATTATAGTGATGAGTTTTATTTAGAATGTCGAGTAGGCTGAAGGGCAGAGAGGCGTGAGGTGGGGACGATCTGCAAAGGCTGTCCTGAGATCAAGTTGTGGGGCAGACATGGAAACCACAGAGCTCTTTTGGGGGAGCAGAGTTCCAGACAAAGATGAAGATGGCCATGGGCTTCAGAGGGAGATTATCTGGTGTGCTCTAGGACCATGAAGGTCACTGAATAGGTCAAGCAAGGAAGCAGTAGGAAAAGGGACCTCTGGGAACTAGGGAGATGGCTCACTGGGTAAAGACCTTCAGCACCCAGGTAAGAGCTGGGAACAGCTGTGTGGAACTGTAACCCCAGTGCTGTGAGGACAGATGGACAGATGTCCAGAGCTCATTAACAAGCTCCTGGAGGGAAATCAGTACGCTCCAGGTCCAATGAGACGCTGTTTCAAAAAATGGGAAGAACGTCTAATGTCAACCTCTGGCTTCCACATGCAAATGCACATATTTGCGTGTGTTCTTGCACACATACATGCACATGCATGCACACCCTCCCCAAAGGAAACAAAAAACTTTAGAGGTCATTGGGGAAAGATCATTTCATTCAGGGGCCATGGAAGAGGATCTTAGCTGGGTGCGGTGGCACACGCCTTTTATCCTAGCCCTTGGGAGGCAGAGGCCACCAGGTCTCTGTGAGGTTGAGGCCAGCATGGTGTACATAGCAAGTTTGAGATGGTTGGGGCTACGGGGAGAACCTGTCTCACAAAAGCAGCTGGTCCTATCATGATGTTCAGCTCAGTCTGTTCTTTCATTCGTACCTTATTAAATTCAACAAATATTCCTTAGGTATATACTGTACAGTAGGTGTTGATCTAGGAGGTGAAAATATAGAAGATCTTTGAGTGTTTTAGGAAGTAGTTTTGAGGCACCTGCTCTATGTTGGACACAGGGTGAAGTGCTGGGACTAGAGGTGACAGACTTTGGTTTCCTGAAATGCTAAATGTGTAATGAGGGGAAAGTGAGAGGAATTACCATGCAGATGGTATGCCTTGTCCTGTTGGTTAGTCCGTCATGCTGTGAGCATTGAGAACAGTCATGGACTCCACATCAAGGGTCCATCATGCTGTGAGCATTGAGAACAGTCATGGACTCCACATCAAGGGTCCATCATGCTGTGAGCATTGAGAACAGTCATGGACTCCACATCAAGGGTCCATCATGCTGTGAGCATTGAGAACAGTCATGGACTCCACATCAAGGGTCCATCATGCTGTGAGCATTGAGAACAGTCATGGACTCCACATCAAGGGTCCATCATGCTGTGAGCATTGAATACAGTCATGGACTCCACATCAAGGCCAAGCAGGGCTTCTTGAAGGTTCTGGCTCGTCTTCACCAGCCACTGTTTCCTACGTTCTTGAGGCTGAAGGCACATTTCAAGCAAAAATCAAAAACCATTTACAGGTGCCTGGAGCCACAAGGAAGCCAGTACCCTTACTATTTAGGGGTGTGTGAGGACTCTGACTTGGTGAAGTTGTAGGGAATGCAGAGGGGAATGAAGTTCCCAGATCTGAACAGATTCATAAAGCAGGTGTGAAAACATCTATCTTGGGTTTGACCTTGATGGAGATGAGTGTTCACGACAAGTACATGTGTGTCATGGCTTCTATGCATCTTCAAGGTCATTACATTGGCAGCGGAAGAGGTGATCAAAGGAGCCCTGGGTGTATTTGGTTAATCACAGATGATGAATGACAAGGTCCCAACCTAAGGAGGCATTTAAGAACTACGCAGGAATCAGAATTGAAGAATCTTGGTACATGGTCAGCTTTGGGTAGTGAAGACTGAGGCTGATGTCAGCATGCCTGGCGTGGTCACAGAGAGTTTCAGTTTCTATTTTTGTTTATAAGAAGCAGAGATCTTTGTAGGTGATGTAGGCAAAAATGATCATTTTATTGGAAGCAGTATTAGGGGAAGAGCAGAGTCTCTAAAATCCAGAAGACCCAGGGGCTAGGCAGAGACAAGTTGGTCCCGGAAGTCAGGAAGCAGGGACCACAGTGATGATCTAGTGTCGAGTATTCTGCTGTGGCAAGGCTGTTCTATCACTTCCATGGTCCTTGAATTTCTTACCCAAGATTTAAGGACTGGGGATTGTGGGTATCATAAAGCTCGTGGCTTATGCCCATGACCCACCTGTTTAGGGTGAGGAAGAAGTCAGCTTTTTCACCTTCCTTGTAGGGAATTGGTCTCCTGGAGTCACAATCCCACTAACACAGCCAACAGTGGAGAAAGCATTCCCAACTGGAAACACAGTCCGTGGTGTGGAGAACAAGTAGAACCAATTTAGATATGTTGAGTTTCATAGTACTGTGACTATCAATTGTTATGAAACTAACTCACTAAAACTTAGTGGCTAAAATCAAAATAGATATTGTGGGGGTGTATCCACATAGACATATGTGGAGGCTAGAAGTCGGGGTGTAATGGTGTGTACACACATAGGCATATGTGGAGGCTAGAAGTCGGGGTGTAATGGTGTGTACACACATAGGCATATGTGGAGGCTAGAAGTCGGGGTGTAATGGTGTGTACACACATAGGCATATGTGGAGGCTAGAAGTTGGGGTGTAGTTGAAGTTGGAGGAGGAGTTCTTACCTGAAGTCTCATACTTGAATGCTGTCTTTTGGATGTTGGAGCTAGAATCTTATGAAGACTTTACAGGACTGGATGTTGGATGTCCAAGAAGGAGTCTTCATCTATGTCTAAGATGAGACAGGAAACAGTTCTCTCTCTTTCTCCCCGTCTCCCACCCTCTCCCTCTTTCCTTTTCTCCCTCTCCTTCCCTCTCCATTTCACCTGGCTACTTGATTATCTTGGGTTATAGCATAATGATCTCAGAAACTTCTCACATGGAGAGTACCTTTCCCCAGAACAACCCTCCACCAGACCAAGATAGAAGATCTAGTGTTTCCTATAATCTAGTCTCCAAAAAGTCATACAGTACCACACCACCTGAATTCTGCTATTTATATTGAACCGGCTCAGATCTGTCATCTGAGAAGGATGGTATAGGGGCATGAGTACCAGGAGGCATCAGTAGTTAGAGAAACCTTAGAGACGCTCTAAGAGTTTTCTATTCGACAACACCCATGTCCACTTGCACAAACCTTGAGTGGAATTTATTACACATCAGGGAGTTCATTCTACCTTAGAACCTGTTAGTAATCAGTCTGTTTACTCTTGCAATGCAGCATTGCATCGAAAGATAAAAAAAATCAACAGTTATGATACTGGAGGAAGTTCAGATTCTCTTATTTCCCATCAAGTTATGCACTAAGAGAAGCTGACTTGGAGCGTCTATTTAGGTGAGGAAGATAGTGTTTGTAGTTTTTAGGCATCTCTCCACCTTGCCTGCTGCAGAGCATTTTAGAGGCAGGGCCACCAGTCCTAGGGGAATGCGGATGAGGCCAACTTCAGTGTAAAAGGTTGCTCTAATGTTTTGAGCTGGACGGCCCAGCCAGATTCCCTCTGTTGCCCAGCAGTAGCTGAGAGAATTGAGCCATTGAGAGTACCACTTACCAGTTTAGTTTAAGGTAAACACAAAGCAAAGACCTTTGTGTTGAAGCTCATTTTCTTCTTTGGAGGTGGTGGGGGGCTGAGGCAGCAGGAGGACGAACAGACAGAAGGAAATGAAGGGACAGGCAGGGAGCAAATGCCTTATAGAACATCGCAGCCCACAACAAAGGATCGCTGGCTTTGTGAGGCATCTCCAGAGAGGCTGGCGGAACCGGTGTCCAAATAGACCAGCTTTGCAAGTCCGCACCTACATTATTTCATGTTCTTTTCATCACGTTCCCAGGGACAAGGAAGAAATGTGTTTTAAAGATTGAACAGAATGGGGCATTTAGAAATTTCCAAGGCTTTCCGGGAGAGGCTAAGGAAAAGCTTAAATCTCTTCGTTTATGGGGGTTACAGAAAACGGCTTTTTCCTGTGTCCTGTCTCTGGCTGGACTAATTGTCCCAGAGTCCATCTCTCCCCCTGGTGTTGTCCATTCCCTCCTCCTGTCTGACGCTGGAAATGTCAGAGAGTCTTGTTAGTCTAGCCAGTCTGGTGAGTACTCAAGTGCGGTGATGTGATGGTTAGTTTTAAATGTCAACTTGCTACAATCACCTGGGAAGAGTCTCAGTGGAGGACTGGTCTAGATCAGGTGGGTCAGTGGGCCTGTCTGTCAGGGATTATCTTCACGTTAATTGATCCAGCCACTGTAGGCCACACTGTTCCATCAGGGCCCCCCTGAGCTGTGTGAGAGAGGAGAAAGCTAGCCCAGCATAGAAGCCAGCAAGCAGGCATGCAAGGCTTTGTGTTCCTGCCTTGACTTCCCCACAGTTATGGGGCGTAACCTGGAATTGTAAGCCAAATAGCCCTTTTCTCTGTTATGCTCCGTTTGGGTCA